GCCTGTAATCCCAGCTACTGGGGAGGCTAAGGCAGGAGAATCCCGGGCTTGAACCCAGGACGTGGAGGTTGCAGTGAGCCGAGATCGTGCCACTGCACTCCAGTCTGGGCAAAAAGAGTAAAACTCTGTCTCAAAATAAAGTAAAATAAAATGAGAAACTGATTATGATCTCTTGAGTAACTGCCACTCTGCGATGCTATGGGAAGTACACACATTGAAGAAGTTGCATATTTATATTAAATACCATTTGTTTATATTGAACAAATTGGGTGTTTACACCAAATGCATTTAATGGCATAAATGTGAATGACAAACTCAAGAAGGCAAGACATAGAGGAAGGCCACTGGCTTTTCAGAAACCACTCGGCCTGTGAGCTCACTTCCCTTTTATTAAAAAAAAGCTTTCGCTTTTAAGGTGTCCAGATAAAGGTCACACTCCCAGAGCTGAGGCTCTGTGAGTCTGAGCTGTTACCTCAGTAATGGGAGCGTGGCTGGAACTCAACACTTTCTGATCATTCATGCCCAAAGCCTCTTGGGATAGGGGAGAGGGGGCACCTTGTATGCATGAGATGAAATAGGATACCAAGATCCCCTTAATTCCACTCAGAGTAGAGGAAAGGAAGTGTTGCCAAAAGTAACATGTGTTTTTCTAAATTGAAGAGTTGGAATTTTGAAGGTCAAAGTCAGAATATTAGAACAGAGAGCCATGCATATATTATCTAATACAATTTTCTCATTTTATAAATTATGTAAATGAGGAAACTGAGACCCAGCAAGGTTATAGGACCCACAACCTAATCTGTGTTAGAGGGATGAGAGTGAGGCTTATGCTGGGAGTTGCGATGGTCTGTAAATGTGAGGATAAGGAACACGCCATTCACCGTTGTGTTCCACCTCCTAGTCCAGTGCCTGGTGCAAAGTAGGGGCTTCATAAACATTGGTCACAGGCCTGATGGAGGGACTGATTTGAGTGAATGTGTCCACGGATGATGCATCTGTACTTTATGTTCCCTGCTAGTCAGATGGACTCATACATGCTCCATTTCAGGTTTATCTCATCTGGGATATTATATTAGAGGGTTCTCTTTATGTGCCATGACCGAGTAGCGTTTTCTTCCACTGAAGTATTGCTTCCTCTTTGTTGATGTCACAGGACAAACATCAGAACACTTACAGGATGTGTGTAGCATGGCATGACAGAGAACTTTGGTTTCCTTTAATGTGACTATAGACCTGGCAGTGTTATTATAAGAATCGTTGGCAGTCAGACACCCGGGTGTGCTGAGCTAGCACTCAGCGGGGGCGGCCACCGCTCATGTGATTGTGCAGAAGACAGCTGGAAGAAGTACCCAGTCCATTTGGAGAGTTAAAACTGTGCCTAACAGAGGTGTCCTCTGACTTTTCTTCTGCAAGCTCCATGTTTTCACATCTTCCCTTTGACTGTGTCCTGCTGCTGCGGCTGCTGCTACTTACAAGTAAGTCTGGGCATGGATATTTACAATGAGACAATGGTGCTGTACAGAGGACAAGGAAGAGATACAAGGACGGCCATTGTAATGTTGTTTGTAATAGCAAAAGCTTGGAAGCAACCTAAATGTCCATCAGTGAAGGAGTGGGTAAATAAATGTGATATAATCATGATACAAACAGTGAATCTGAGGAAACATACTGGTATAGAATGTCTCAAAATTATAATGTTATTAAAGAAAAGAAAGGTGCAGAATAATGCATATATTAGGCTTCTATTTGTGTGTGTGCATTGTCGGGGAGCAGGAATATGTGGACATTTCTTAATGTAGAGTCTCTAGGAAAAGGAACCAGGGAATGGTAAAGAGTTGGGAGAGTAAGGCATATTTTTCCTTTCCTTTCCTTTCCTTCCCTTCCCTTCCCTTTTTCCTTCCCTTTTTCCTTCCCTTTTTCCTTCCCTTTCTTTTCTTTTTTCTTTTCTTTTCTCTTTTCTTTTCTTTTCTTTCTTTTCTTTTCTAGTTGAGATGGAGTTTCACTCTATTGCCCAGGCTGGAGTGCAGTGGTGGCATGATTTCGGCTCACTGCAATCTCCACCTCCCGAGTTCAGGCGATTCTCCTGCCTCGGGCACCCGAGTAGCTGGGATCACAGGCGTGCACCATCACGTCCGGCTAATGTTTTTAATTTTTAGTAGAGACAGGGTTTTACCATGTTGGCCAGGCTGGTCTCAAACTCCTGGCCTCAAGTAATCTGCCCATCTCGGCCTCCCAAAGTGCTGGGATTACAGGCGTGACCCATT